TGGATATCTCCCCGGTATTTAACGTTGTTGACTTATTTGAGTTTCAAGGAGACCCTCTAGAAGTCGAAGTAGTTAATATGATGAAGCAATTACCGAGAAAGAAAGAGGAGGAAATTGAGCAAGCTTTGAAGACTGAAAGCTTTCAAACTTGAAAAAGTTCCTATCGCCAATTTCTAGTCAAATGGAAGGGCAGGCCATACTCTGATAGCACGTGGATTCTGGGCAAGAGTTCAAAAGAGTGGATCTAGACTTATACCGCGTCTATACTGAAGCCAACTCACCAGAGTGGAGTTCCTTTCAACTGGGGGGGAATGATGCAGCCATGCCCCTTCGTGACTGGGTTAGGAAGGGTTGTAAAACCCAAGAGGAAAAGAAATGGGCATTGATGTAATAAGGGGGATTATTAGGGTTGTTTTAAGTTTTATTATTTTGATGAGAATATGGAGTGCGCAAGGATAATTAGGAGGGCATGAGTTTTTTTTTGTGTTTATCTTGTATTGATTGGGTTAGTTAGTTTGGGATGTAAATAGGATAATGTTAAAATTAAGGGAGTTTTATCTTTATCACAAGAGGAAGGCTTTGTGTAAAACGTGGGAGGCTTTGCTTTGATAAAAACGTGGCTATCTATTAGCATGCGAAGTTAAGGGAGAAAAGATAGGGATGAGAGAAAATAGGGAAGAGAGAAAAAAAAATGGGAGTGCGTGGGGGTTTTTTTTCTCTTTTGCTTATCTTCTTTTTTAGTCTATTTATAGGGAGGTTTCCCTTCATTGTAAAGCAGTCTATGAATTGAATAAAAATTAGTCTCGTGAAAGAGATTGTTTTGGGGGTGGATTCCCTTGCAGACCTTTGAGAGAGGGTATTTTTCTCTTAACCTTCCTTCTTTTTATTGTTAATTTTCTGGTTTTATTCTCTCCCTGCATCAAATACTGAGCAGATAATAGGGGTTTCTAGTTTTCTTTAGTAAGCTCTTCATGGTTATGAAATTACTCTTTCACTCCCTTCTTTGAGAAACACACCCCCCCTCTCTCTTTTTTTTGTGCAGTTGTTCTCCAATCCTAGCTTATAAGCCTCTTGCTTCAGTGCTCCAGGAAAATGTGTCTTGCATATGTGCTCTTCACTGATTCGGTGAGTCCCCAGATTGTTCTCTTTCTAGAAGTTTAGTTTCTGCATCGGTTTTTTCGACATGAGCTCCATAACATTAACAAAGAAACCTTTTCTTTGTCTTTTAAAACCCTTTTCTCTCTCTTTTGACAAGGAATTAGGGGATGGCTCTAAAATTGGTTTCCTGCTTGATCCATGCCTTAATGAGAGGTCCTTGACTCCTTGTATGACTTGTATGGGGAAGAAATCATAAGGGACTTGGGCCTTGGAAGATCTCTATCAATCTTAGGGGTTCTTGTATGTCTTGTATGGAGAGGAAATCACAAGGGATTTGGGCCTTGGAAGATCTCTAACCATCTTAAATACATGTATGCTTCTCCTTCCTATAAGAGGAAGGAGAGTTTTGGACTTGGAAGTTAATCTTGGATAAGGTTACCTACATACAAAGACATGATTGACGATATGCTCATATGTGTGCCTAGTGAATATGGAGAAATTATCTCAAAAAGAACTCTTATCGAATCATTAGAAAACTTGGTGTCAAAATAAAACACTTGAGACTACATGGGGAAACTAACACACTAAGGGCCCCATGGTTCTTGGGTAGATTAGAAAAACAAATGCTATCAACCTCCGATAGATGCAAATATGGGGTTACCTCCATTGTAATTGATGCCCGCTGTGTATATTTGAGATTGAAGATCATGATCACTTCTTCATCACATGCACCTTTATGGGTGAGATTTGGAAAGTGATCACTTTGGAGATTCAAAGTAAGAACTATAGCCAGCTTTGACATCCAAAGTCTCCTAACAAATTGGTTAAAAAAGAAGTTAAAAAAAAAAGGTTCCTAGCAAAGCTTCGGAATGCCTCTCTCCCTACTCTATTTAGGGTCATATGGGAAGAAAGAAATCAGCAGGTAATTGAAGATCATCATCATCATACCTTTCCTAGGATAACAAAGGAGATGATATGGAAAATTTGGAATAGCATCCTGGAAAAAGAAGTTAATCCCTCCAAAGTATGGAAGAGAAAAAATAATATGTGAAAGTTGGGAAGCAACCCCCAATCAACCTTGTGTGATATGGAGCAAGTGTGGTGAGGTCATTATGTACAGAGTGATGCAAACTCCTAGTGAGGCTTACTATAAATATCACATCTCATAAATGGTAAACTTTTCTTACAAGTTAATATGAGGGGTGGGGTCCTTGCACAATCCCCCCACTAACTTAGTTGTTTTTTTGTTTTTTTTTTTTTGGGGGATGGGGGGGGGGGGCAGCAATAAGGCCATGAGCACATTCAGAATTGATAGCCCAAATGCAAGAAACAAGAAAATACTGAAAAGTGTGAAAGAAAAAACCCAACTTTGCAAACTATAGGTCACCTATGCAATGCTCAAAAACTAAAAGGCATAGGTGGGGGCGCCAAGGAACTAGGGTGGGCTTGGCCATCAGGATTGGATTAGAGCTCCCAGGAAGTAATTAGAGCAGGGGTTTAGGCTCCCTGTGGAGTTCTTAGGGCAGTTTTAGCGACCCTTGAAAAAAAAAAAAAATCACAGACATCATCATTCATCATATTCAATGATTTGGTCAAGATCCATACTTCTAGCCCAAATTACTTTGTTTACTTGATCCAGTTGAAGACATTGTCACGACTGACGACATACCATTGTTCGAAAATTCCAGGCACCAAAAACGCCTAATGGGGGACCTATATAGGCCCTGTGGGCATCCTTGCAATCCTAGGTGGCCAAGGCGTCACTTGGCGTTCCTCGCAAGGCGGTGCCTTAAAACAACTTGGACAAGGGTAGAAAAAATCCTGCGACCAAGGGAAAAAAAGGTATTTGCCCCCTCCCCCCACCTAAAAAGGGGGGAAAAGGGTTTTGGGTTGGGCAATCTAGTCCCCCAACCCCCCCAAAAGCGCAAGTCCTTAATAAATTTATTGAGGGGGCTTATGGGTTTTGGGATTATATCACTGATTTTTAGTTGCTATAATAGAAAGTAATAGTATTGGAGTAATAAATGGTTTATTTGAGGAATTGAGTTGTGATTTCCATGGATTACTTCAAAAAGGTGACTTCTTTTCAATGTTTAAAAAACGGTCCGCTCGGCGCCTAGGCACCCGCCTAGGCGGCCTGGACCAAAAATCCGCACGCCTAGACCCAAGTGGCCCTAACCGGGCTGATGTACTTGGGCGGGTGCCTAGCACCCAGTTTTGGGCGGGCGCCCAGGGCCATAAGGCCTTTTTCATTTTTTTAAATTGCCCAAAAGGGCAATGGTGACCCCTAAGGTTATATAAAAATGTTATGGGATTTATTTTAATTTTTTTCAATCTTGATAGAAATCTAAAAATCTTAGATTTTTGAGAGTTATTCACTCTCTAAACACAAAGATCTTTGGGGGGCTAGAATGTCCACCAAAACCCTTCTCCCCCATTTTAAGGGGAAGAAAATGTCAAAAATGCCCCTGGCCAAGGGCCCATTTCCGGCCTCGGCCAGAATGCATTGAGGTGCCTGCCAAAGCATCCACCATAAGGCGAGAACTTAGGAGGTGCCTTGGGCACCTGTACGCAAGACTCCTAGGAAGACTGTCTAAGAGGCGACTAGGCTTTTTTGCCTCCAGGCAGCCGAAATTTTGAACATTGCATTGAAGAATATCTGTTGAATATAGAACCCTACATTCACTGATTTAAAGAGATAAGTGCCAAATCTCCTGGTTGTTATTCCTTAGTAATTTGTGGAAAGAGAGAGATAACTGCCAAATCAATTTTCTGCTTGTTATTCCCTAGTAATTTGTGGAAAGACAGAGAGAACTGCCAAATCAATTTCCTGCTTGTTATTCCCTAGTAATTCATAGAGAGAGAGAGAGAGAGAGAGAGAGAGAGAGAGAGAGAGAGAGAGAGAGAGAGAGAGAGAGAGAGAGTAGTAGTA